CTAAATATTTTTATGGGCTGATTCAGGCAACAGTCCACCAGGCATAGCACTGTTTTTTTTTAACAAGATGTGTTCTCCATTCTCAAAAGCAACTTTTAGGAAGCAGCCTGTTTATATACTGGGGATTTCTAGGGCCAGAGGTTTGTTATTTGTGGGTCAAAGATTCATGCAGGATCCAGGGAGCCTGCAAGAAAAGTCATAAAGGGTGCGGTCAATAGGGTAAGTTGCTCCAAAGAATGAGACTAAGAAAGTCCGGGGAGTTCCCTGGTGCTCCAGTGGTTAAAACTCCACACTCCCAAAGCAGGGGGTGCTGGGTCGATATCTGGTCAAGGAACTAAGATCCCACATGCAGTGCGGTGCGGCCAAAAAAAAAAGAGTCCGAAATTGTCAATGTGTAGCTCAATGATAATGTTAGCAGTGCCTGACCAAAAGCACCAGGCTGCAGGAGTGCCCAGTGACTGAGGAAGCAGAGGCAGTGACCTAGACTCTTATAACTCCAAATGTGGTCCTAGAACCAGCAGCATCAGCATCAGAAATGCAGAGTCTCAGCTTCTGCCCCAGACCTAATAAATCAAAACCTGCATTTAAACAAGATCTCTAGGTGATTTGTAAGGACATAAAAGTTTGAGAAGAACTGGTCTGGACTCAAGAAGTGTAGTGATGGTATGTAAGAGGATAAAAGTCAGAGGTGAGGGATAGACTGGAAATGGAAATGCAAGAGAAACATGATCCCAAGAGGAGGAGGCCTGTGGAGAGGGGAAGGGATAGAGAGAACTGATTAGTTTGGGAAAAGAGGTGGGACTTTTCCTTTGTTAATAAAAATCGGAAAGAAGAATGGAAGAGGAAGTGTGAGACCAAAGGCAGATAACTGAGAAAACTCTGTGCTTGATGACTCAGTTCTCCCCAATAAAACTGGTGGCAAAACCAATCACTGAGGAGGAGAAAAAAAGGTTGTAAGTCAAATACTCCATACTTTAGAAACTCCCTTCTTTAACTCTACGGCTCTAGTTTCAATGATATTTATTTTTGATTAACATTTCTTTCCTTTTTTTTCTGTAACTCCTTTAAATAAGCATGCAGCAATGTATTAAAATATTAAATTCTTTAATAACTATAATAAAACTTGGAGTTCTACAAGTAGCTTGATGAGCCATGAACTTTTCTAGGGCCAACATTATATATCTTGCTGACACTATTAGGTCAAATATCATGGTTGCAAAAATGTATAAAAACTTGAAAGAAAAAAATTTTAATCTTTACCTATAGTTTTTATTTCTGCAAAGTTTGCTAAATCAATAAAATGATCTGAAAAGTTCATCTCACAGTCAGATATATCAGTGATTTACTTCATTGGTTTTCTGATGACCATTTATCATGAGGTAAAGCATCTTAGAATGAATGGTGGAAATCAAAAATTTGACGTGCTTGCCTCTTAAATAAACTAAATATTTGATTTATAAGACACAAATGAACAAACCACTACGGCCTGTCATGTTTTTCCAGTTTCTAATTTATTCAACCTCTGCTCAATATTGATCCTGACAAGCAGAGTAACCCAAAGATAAATTTATTCACTCCACAGTTTAGTCAGGAACAAGCCAAAAATTATAGATTTTCCCAGGCAGATGATGACAGGCAGTCAGGGGGATGACAAATGGCTGTCTTTAGATTTAGTTAGGACAGTTGGGCTAGACGTTTCCGATAAAGATTGGAGCACTCTGGTCCAATACAGGTTCATCAGCAGCCATCATTAATTGTAGAGAGAGCACTGCCAGTACAGCAGGCTCCTATACAGGAGCTGAGGCACCAACCCTGCATGGGAAATAGAATTGGCTCTTTAGTATTTTGCAGCACTCCTCTAAGTGATAGCGTGACATGATCATTTATCATACAGAGACTGTCCAGAAAAGTGTCTGCTCCCTTTAGTAACTTATTGAAGGTCAGGAAAGTGAAAGCATTTTATTAAAGACAGGAAGGCAATGAACAACCAGAGCGTATCCAAAGAGTAATCATATTGCAGCACAGGATTAGTTTAGTCTTAAATAAACATACACTGGAAGGAGTATGTTGAGGATAATTTATCAAGTGAGGAACAATTAACAAAAATCTACAGGATTCTTTTTATCTATATAAATTTAAAGTTCTCTTACTGCTATTATTAACTTTTGGATGATGGGCATCATATTCAACGATGTACAAAGATGCAATGCACAATTCCATCCTTAGAGTTTTTTAAACCAAGAGAAATACAGTGAAACTCTCACATAAAATAATTATGGCTGTATCAAAAGCTGTGGAACAAATGCTGTGAAGAGGGCATAATCCAGGGCCCAGGACTGAAGGATGAAGTTACAACTTCTGAAGAGAGCTTTCTTTTACGAAGTCAATTACTTGTCAGTGGATCAGAAGCTTATTCTCCCTTACAACAATTTTTGCTCTCTGCTGACCAAAATTAAGAGAAAGGGAATTAACTGAGGGGTGGCAGAGCAGGCAAAGAGGAAGAGAATTAACACATGTATTCTTTACCTGCTTTGTTCCACGCACTTTATATCCCACAACAACTAACCCTAATTATCCTTACTTTATAAATGAGGATACAGACTTGCCTAAGGTCAAATAGTAAGAAGCAATGTCAGAAAGTTTAGGGTTGCCTGTATATTTTTAAAACAAGTCCTTATATTTTTCACATAAATTATTTATTTGAATACATTAGAGTCTAGCACAGAACTTAGCCCTTGACTCAATAAATATCTGATGAATAATGAAGTAGGCAGAACTCGAGCCACCATTTTATATACGAAGACATTGGTCTCAGCAAGATTAAAGTGCTCTGCAGTGGGTTCTGGACATCTGGCTGTTCTTCTAATTATTCCCCAAAAGACAGCATTTCTTCATGTAGATGCAGGCACATATCTGGATGTTCCATATTTGTTACCTCCTGGATATGAAAGTTTGGGAAGGATTTTTAATATATAGAAGGGAACTGCTGTCAAAGCTTCATAGTAAGAAAAAAAAATTTTCTAAAACCTAAAGAGTAAATGCAGTCTTATCATAAGAAAAATTTCCAAAAGTGGAAAAATGAAATATCTAAGCAACAGTAAACATGGATCAAGCAAAGAATAAGATGGAAGGTATAAATAGTTAAATTAAATGGATATACAAAGCTGAATGGTATCAAGCTTTGCAGGTGAGGAAATGCTATGGGGAATAAAAATACCAGGCAATGCATTATCAATTACTTTCAGCTTTGCAATTAAGAATATGTATGAATTAATCCATAACTTTTATTTCCCAATTTTCCCTTATACCCTATGATAAGTTTGGTCTTGGCTTGAGGAAAACAGATAAAAGAATCATAGGTGTTTGTCTGCTGCTATCCTCTGGAACTTTTACTAACTTTGAAATCCTCATACCCATATTCTAAAGAAATGCAATCCTCCTGGATGTGTACAACATCACATATACGGCAGTGCTCTGACAACCAGAAAGCTCTCCACAGAATTAGTTATTATCAGTATTTATTATTAATATTAGCAAAACATTTGCTTTAAAGTAATGTTTTTGCCCTACTGAAGGTATTTTTCCTTTTCTTATTTTTCTGCCTGTGGCCACTGAATTTTTACAAATCAATCATGGGCTATAGAGTAGAAAAAGTTTTTCCATTACTTGTTTTGAGTAATTCTTTACAGATTAAGTTTGGGGCATATATTGATATAAGAAATAAAGTATAAAGTATATTTCACTTCCATTAAATAGTAGCTAAGGGACTTCCCTGCTGGCGCAGTGGTTAAGAATCGCCTGCCAATGCAGGGGACACGGGTTCGAGCCCTGGTCCAGGAGGATCCCACATGCCGTGGAGCAACAAAGCCCATGTGCCACAACTACTGAGCCTGCGATCTAGAGCCTGCGAGCCACAACTACTGAGCCCACATGCCACAACTACAAGTCCACATGCCTAGACCCTGTGCTCTGCAATAAGAGAAGCCACTGCAATGAGAAGCCCGCACACCGCAACGAAGAGCAGCCCCTGCTCGCCGCAACTAGAGAAAGCCCGCGCACACCAACAAAGACCCAACGCAGCCAAAAATAAATTAATTAATTTTTTAAAAAATAGTAGATAAAGTAAAATATACACATAAAAAATGAGGAAGGGGAGAAAGCAAGAAAAGGAATGAGAGAAAAACAAGGCATTGGAGACAGAGATATTGGATTGAAAAAAAATTCAAATAGGGAGAGAGAGGAGGTGAAGAGGGCAAACTGAGACAGCTGGTTCTTAAAGGCGATCAATCTGTTTTTCTCACATTTATTTGGATTTTCAACCATGGAATAACTTAATTATTCCTTTAAATATCAATAAGCTGATTTTCTTATGAGCTATTAAAACATGCAAATGTTTATGATGTACATAAAACAAAACTGTACCTACAGTATGATGACAATTAAAAAGGAAATCCCTATGCTCAAAAAGAAAACTAGAAGGATACATAACATATTAAAAGTGATCTTTGGGTGATAAGCACACAAGTTTTTTTTTTTTTCTTCCTATTTTCCCCTTTGATATTTTTTTAACAGATTTTTTTAAAAAGAAAAAGCAACAATAAATATTGCTTGTAATGTCAATGGACTGCTTACTTACTACTCCATAATGGCCTTAATCTGTAAACTTCCATAAGCTCCACTAAGAACAGGGCATCTTCTGTAGCATGGATAGCCAGAGGCAAAGTGGTTTCTGAGCTGCAGGTTGGGTCCATTTAAGGGAGTGTGACAGTAGAGTTCTGTGGCCCCCAACTCAGGACCCTACTTTTTGCCTCATCTTTAGTCCTCTCTATTATTAGTATAGACTATTTTATCAAATAAACATTTATTGTAACCTAAGTACCTGGCACTGAGCTAGAACTCCATGGAAAACAGTAATTACCTTTTAAAACAGTTAACTGACATGAAAGAAATATTGATAATATGAAATACCTGTGTCTTGCTTTTTTCTTCTCTAACGATAGGATTTGGAGTGTTTACTGAACAAGTTGACGAAGCTGTGGAAAATGGATCTAAACAGAAATCCTGTTTGTCTCAAACCGAAATACAGAGATAGACTAATATTGGTGTCCAAATCACTGGGTACATGTTTATATTATATTAATATGATTTTCTTAGAGAAAGAGAGCTGGTTAACTCTTTAGTTAATTTATCAGCAAGCCTTCAGAAATATGAATATGACATCTGGATCTACAAAAATGGTCAACTTTAAATTTGATATTTTAATAAAAGCAAAAGTTAAAATTGAGAAATAAAACATGAAAAAGATCTGCTGTTCAGAAATAATTAAGACATCAGACACTCTTTCTTTAAAAAGAAAATGTGGCTGTTACCAACAAAAATGGTTAGTCATAAATGTGTAGAACTTGCTGGCCGTTTGCCAAATTTTCACTGGCACAAATCCTCTGAAGATCCGGAGACTCTTGGTTCCGTAGATAAAATTGATCAAGGTTTTCATTGCTTGACACTTGCCAAACGGCACCTTAAGAACATACAGGAGTTCCTTTCATTTGAAAGGGGAGAAGGTGGGGAGTCCCTTTATGAGATCCGTACAAATAATAACATTCCTGAATCCGCACTATATAAGGGGAAATGGACCAATGCTCTTCAATAGGTACCAAGTTATACAGTATCAGAGAGATAATCACTGCCCTCTCACAGAGGAGATTTGTGAGTGTTTCTATGACATGCTGTACTTGAGTATAAAAACTAACGTATGGCAAAACCACTTCAAAGCTCATAGCTATAGTAAACTTGGTTAATCATAATGCTAGTACAGTGGTTCTCTTGGGGGAAAGAGGGGATGACAGAAGGTATATCAGAAACATCCAAGACGATTTTTCAAAACACATATGTGAGAGTCACACCTTACCTACCCTCTACCCCACCAGCCAAGAGTAGGAAACAGAGAATACACAGGAATAACAGTCATGTATATTTTTAAAGGTAAATTACTCGTATATTTGTACTTGGAACACTATCAGTCATTAAAAATTGTGTTTAAAGAAAGACGTGGTAAAATGCTCACAATACAATATTAAAAAGTAAAATGTGATACTGTATAAATAGAGAATTCCATTTTTATATAATACACACATATACACACAATACACACCTAGAAAACAAAACAATGCTAAGAAATATACTAAAGTGTTATCCGTGGTTGTCAGTGATTATTTCTGGTTGTGGAATACAGGCAATGTTTTGTTTTCTCCATTTCTTTGAATTTTCCAAATCTTACAACACACAAACTTATTTAATATGCTCAATTTTCAAAACTTTTTAAAGAAACAAAATGTAAAGATAACTGAAATCTCACTTCATAGAACGAAGAGGCCAGTTATGCGATTATTCCTATTATATCCTATATCTTAGGATATAATAAGCATTATTAATGTATGTATTTTTAAAATACCATGTTACATATATAAAACTTCTTAATGAAATTAACATAAAATATATTTTACTTTTTCCTATGAATAATCATAGAATTATTTAAATGAATAGATAATATTTAATTTTTGTTGAATATGATGTTTTTGTTTTTTAAAATACTTTATGATCCAAGAAGGGTGACCATACATCAAATTGTTTATAATGATTACCTTTGCTAGTGATGGGAAGGAGAGATATGGATAGCAATTACAGAGCCTTTTTATGTTTTTTCCATCATGTTTCAGTTGTTTATAATATGCACATATTCTTTTTGAAATCAGAAAAAATAATTAAAAATAAATAAAAGCTCAACAAAAACAGAAGCTGTGTAAATAAGGTATTTTAAAAATAAATTTATTTCAGCCTATCGTGTAGCTGTTCATGTGTCCTAAACCAGAGGTATATATATTGTATGTATATACATAATATTTATATATTGTATTTATAATGTTCATGCTGTATTGATACATAACATTTATAGCATTTATATACTACATTTTTTAACATATATATTTTCTCTAGAATTCCTTGATGGAAAAGAAATTAAAAATATGGAAAGACAATTCCTAATGAATTGGAAAGCATCCAAAGATGCCAAGAAAATCAGCAAAAAAAGGAACAGTAAGAACGAGGATATAAGTAACTCACACATAAGTAAGTAGACTGTCATTCATTAGTTAATCACTTCTACTAGCAAAGAGAATATTCTACTCAACAAAAAAAAATACCAGAAATAAGGGGGATTTGTGGGTACATGCATGTGTGTATAAGTGCTCCAAGGCACATAACTATAGAATGGAATGGAGAATATTTGTAATTTTTGAATTCTGAAATTGTGTGTTTTAAGATTTTGTGTTCACATTAATATTAGAATCCTTGTTACAAAATTAAAAATTAAGCTTTGCATTATCAAAAAGTCTTAAAAACAATGTTGTTATGAACTAGCACTGAAAAAATAAGAAAAAGAGTGTGTTTATTTAAAAGTAGATAAATTTTTATATAAACTATTTCTATTTAAGGTAAAGCAAATGGAACAAATATGGTGAAATGTACCCAACGTTAATTCTAGTTTGTTAGATTTTTGAATCACAGTTGTAGCTATTATTATTTATCACTGATTCAATAAATAAAATATAAATATATAAACAAACAAAAAAATAATGGGGGTTTGTTTAGATTTTTTATGGGCTTTTTTTAACTTGTTTACAATTCCTAGGAAATTTTTCCTATAATGTTTATATATGAAAATGGTAGTTACCATATATGAAAAAAGCTATGTTTAGTTCATATTGAGTATAACTATGTCAGCTATATAAACAGAGAGCCATGAGGGTGGGGAAAAGTGTATAATTTTATATCTGGCAAAAGTGCATGACACTAGTTATATAAATGGTGAAACAACAATCAGCTATGTAACTTGTGAAACAATTCACAAGTATATTTGTTTAGCAAAAGTGCAAAAATCACATTTTTCATCAGGATAAAAAATAAAAATGTATCACAACCACATATGTTCCGTATACTCTGTGGCCTGTCCTCTTTCTTAAGTACACACCCCAACATTTGAATATTTTGATTATAATATGTCTAAGGTTGTGTTACAAGGACACACCAACCTCCCCTGCCTAACTAATGAAACTAAATGTAGCTAAGTATGATGTGTAACAATCATCTTTAGCATACTGGGGAGTATCCTAGAATTCACTCTTCACAGATTCTATAGTCCACAAGGCTGAAATGAGGCCCTTGCTCTGTTCCGTGACAGTGTTTGAACGCTAATGGTCTTCTAATTCCACAGCTAACAGGGGATGGAGACACAGAAAGAGGTGAGACCAGGGGAACAGGGAAACGGAAACCAAAACAGTGTAGTGAGTCTTTATGCATAGATAGCATATCCTAGGAGCTCTATCACTCTAGGACTAGGAGGTTGAGGTGAAGAGAAGCAGAGATGGAAAGCTCTGATGATTTTGCCATATTGTATCCCCTGAATATGAATTGTTAACATTATTTCAAAGAATTGGACTTTTTAAGCTGACAATATTCACATGAGTGATGATATTGTGTTGGCAATATGAACTTCTCAACATCTAAAACCTATAAAATGGACAGGAGGCATTTCTCCTCCTCTGCTTATACCTGGCTGGCTGTGAAGAGCAAAACTAGACTCAGGATAAGGACTTGCATATTTTCAGTATTACCCCAAAGATGCCAAAGTACCACCAAAGCAATGTTGAGAAAGAACAAAGCCAAAGGGATCACACTCCCTGATTTCAAACTACAGTTGACCCTTGAATAGTGAGGAGGTTAGGGGTGCCGACCCTCCCCAAAGTCAAAAATCTGCATGTAACTTTACAGTCAGCCCTCCATATCCTTCGTTCCGCATCCAAGGATTCAACCAACCTCAGATCGTGTAATACTGTAGTATATACTATAGAAAAAACTCCACATAAAAGTGGACTTGAGGAGTTCAAACCTGTGTCATTCAAGGGTATACTACTGTATACTACAAAGCTACAGTAACCAAAACAGTATGGTACTGGCACAAAAATAGACAGATCAATGGAACAGAATAGAGAGACCAGAAATAAACCAACGCCTATATAGCCAATTAATCTACAACAAAGGAGGCAAGAATATGCAATGGGGAAAAGACAACCTCTTCATTAAATGGTGTGAGGAAGACTAGACAGCTACATGCAAAAGAATCAAACTGGACCAGTTTCTCACACCATATACAAAAATAAACTCAAAATGGATTAAAGGCTTAAACATAAGAGCTAAAACCATAAAACTCCTAGAAGAAAACATAGGCAGTGAGCTCTTTGACACTGGTCTTAGCAATATTTTTTTGGATCTGTCTCCTCAGGCAAGGGAAACAAAAGCAAAAACAAACAAATGGGATTACATCAAACTCAAAAGCTTTTGCATAGCGAAGGAGACTACCAACATAGTGAAAAGACAGCCTACTGAATGGGAGAAGAAAATTGCAAATGATAGGACTGATAAGGGGTTAATATCCAAAATACACAAAGAACTCATACAGCTCAGTATCAGAAAAACAAATAACCCAATTAAAAAATGGGCAGAGGACCTGAATAGACATTTTTCCAAAGAAGACATACAGATGGTCAAGAGACACATGAAAAGATGCTCAACATCACTAATCATCAGGGTAATGCAAATCAAAACCACAATGAGATACCACCTTACACCTATCAGAATGGCAATTATCAAAAAGACAACAAATAACAAGTGTTGGCAAGGATGTGGAGAAAAGGAAACCCTGGTGCACTGCTGGTGCAATTGTAAATTGGTGCAGCCATCATGGTAAACAGTACAGAAGTTCCTCAAAAAATTAAAAATAGAACTGTCATATGATCTAGCAATTTCACTTCTGGGTATCTACCCAAAGGAAACAAAAACATTAATTCAAAAAGATATACACACACCAATGTCCACTGCAGCATTATTTACAATAACCAAGATATGGAAGCAACCTAAGTATCCTTCAATAGAGGAACGGATAGAGAAGATTTGTGATATATACAATGGAATATTACTCAGCCATTAAAAATAAAAATAAAATCTTACCATTTGTGACAACATGGATGGATATAGAGGGTATTATGCTAAGTAAAATAAGTCAG